TTGTCTTGTTTGTTTTTCAGGCAGAGTTTCTCTCTTGTTACCCAGGCTGGAGTGCAATGGTGCAATCTCGGCTCACCGCAACCTCCGCCTCCTGGGTTCAAGCAATTCTCCTGCCTCAGCCTCCCGAGTAGCTGGGACTACAGGTGCACCCCACCATGCCCAGCTAATTTTTTGTATTTTTAGTAGAGATGGGGTTGTATCTTGTTGACCAGGATGGTCTTGCTCTCTTGACCTCGTGATCCACCCGCCTCGGCCTCCCAAAGCGCTGGGATTATAGGCGTGAGCCACTGCGCCTGGCCTAACAGTGCTTTTAATACTGTTTTTCCCATATGAGTTCCTTGGTGGAATTGTTTTACAAATCTAGGGGCTACTACTTCCCATAAGGCTAACTTCCCATTTGCAAACTTCCACTATTTTTCTTTAGCATAGCTCCCAGTATCCTGAACAAACCAGGCCTTTTGGTTTGGAGAGTAGTTTGGAGGTTTTGAACACAGTGCCTCCGGCAGGAGGGTCCTGGCACAGGCAGCCGTTCTAGCCTCTCTGTGGGGTGCAGGGACACCATCTAGGGCTGCCCACTTAGGCTTCTTGTTTCCTTTTTAATTTTTTTTTAGCTGCTGGTGTTGCTTCTTTCTGGTGGCCTTTACAGTGTATAACAGCTACTTTTTTTTAGTGCTCACACTGCATTTAAAAGCTGCAGAATTTCTTCTGATACTTTATGTTTGTACCTTGGGCTGTTAAGAGCCATATTTTTTTTTTTTTGAGATGGAGTCTCACTCTATTGGCCAGGCTGGAGTACAGTGGTGCGATCTCGGCTCACTGCAACCTCCACCTCCCAGGTTCAAGCAATTGTCCTGCCTCAGCCTCCAGAGTAGCTGGGATTACAGGCACGTGCCACCACACCTAGCTAGTTTTTGTATTTTAGTAGAGACGGGGTTTCACCATGCTGGCCAGGCTGGTCTCAAACTCCTGACCTCCTGATTCATGACCTCTTTTTTTATAGATACTCCCATGCACAATGCAGGGTGGTAAATGCATATTTGGAGTTAGTGTATATGTTGGCTCTTTTGCCCTTTGCCGTTAATAATGCTCTGGTTAAAGCTATTAATTCTGCTTTCTGGGCCGATGTTCCTGTTGGCAAGCATTGGGCCTCTACTACTGAGTCCAAAGTTACTACTGCATATTCAGCCATTTGATTTTCTGCCTTTATAAAGCTGCTCCCATCAGTGAAGTAGTCTACATCTGGGTCCTGGGGAGGGTGATCTGTAAGATCCTTCCTGCTAGAGAATACTTCATTTATTGTTCTTACGCAGTCATAGAGTGTTACAGGAAGCAGGGTGGCTGCCTTGAGGGTTTTTACAGTTTCTAGAGTTACACAGAATTCTTGCATAAGAGCCCTTGATATTGAGTAATTCTTGGATTTGACAACCAGTGGCATTTTCTTTGTTGTTGTTTTTAAGACAGAATTTCACTCTTGTTCCCCAGGCTGGAGTGCAATGGCACGATCTTGTCTCACTGCAAGTCCGTATCCCAGGTTCAAGTGATTCTCCTGCCTCAGCCTCCTGCGTAGTTGGGACTACAGGCACCTGCCACAGCCTCCTGAGTAGCTGGGATTACAGGCACGTACCACCATGCCCAGTTAATTTTTGTATTTTTAGTAGAGATGGGGTTTCACCATGTTGACCAGAATGGTCTCGATCTCTTGACCTTGTGATCCACCCGCCTCGGCCTCCCAAAGTGCTGGGATTATAGGCGTGAGCCACTGCACCCGGCCCATACAGAGCCTTTTATAAAACTTGGGCTCTCATCTGCCTCCTGACGGACATTTGAAATTTTCCCCGTATTCAGGGCCTTCTTCCCTCCTGCCTTGATTCCATTTAGAAGCGCCTCCTGAAGTGCCTGCAGGCATTGTAACCCCTTTGCCCTACGGGGGTTCCACTGGGATTTGTTACCAGGTAATGTTCCTTAGCATACCAGCGGGCATGAACGGTGCCTGTCAGGGCATTTATATCCAGGTACTGGAGGGTTGCCTGTGTTACTCTATGCCACTTCTCTGTATTAAGTAGTGTTAACAGAAGCTCCAGGCAATCTGCCCATGTAGGGTTGTGGGTTAAGAAAATGGATTACAGAGAGTCCCGCGGACAGCGCGGAAGCAGTGGCGGCTGCGGCAGCGGCATTGGCGGGACAGCCATGTCACCATTGTCTGCGGTGCAGGTGGCTCTGTGGGTCCACGTGGCCGCAGCCGCCGTGATCCTGGAGCAGCTGCTGTGGTGCTGCCGCGGGGGGCTTCCGGAGCCAGGTCCCCACGAATGAGTGGCAGTCCGGGCGGGCAGAGAAGCGATAGAGAATAATAAAGGGCTGGAGAGCTCGCAGGCAGACCTGAAGCTGGTGGCGCATCCGCGCGCCAAGAGCAATGTGTGGAAGTACTTCAGCTTCGACACCAATGCGGAAGGATGCTTCCTGCAGTGGAAGAAGATCTACTGCCGCATCTGCATGGCCCAGACCACCTACTCCGGGAACACCTCCAACCTGTCCTACCATCTGGAGAAGAACCACCCCGAGGAATTCTGCGAGTTTGTCAAGAGCAACACGGAGCAGATGCGCGAGGCCTTCGCCACCGCCTTCTCCAAGTTCAAGCCCGAGGCGTCCCAGGGCGGCGTGGAGGACCAGGAGGAGTGGCACGCGCAGGTGCTGGAGGAGCTCAGCAACTTCGTCGCAGAAGGTGCTGGGCCTCAATGAGGACCCTCTCAAGTGGTGGTCTGATCGCCTGGCCCTGTTCGCAGTGTTCCCCAAGGTGCTGCAGAAGTAGTGTGGCGGCCCCGCGCGTGGCACCTGAGCGTCTCTTTGGCACCGCCGCCAACGTGGTCAGCGCGAAGAGGAACCGGCTGGCCCCTGCACACGTGGATGAGCAGATGTTTCTGTATGAGAACTCCCGTGGCGGGGCGGAGGAGGAGCCTGAGGACCAGGATGACGGGGAGTGGGGCCTGGACCTGGAGCAGGTGTTCTCCCTGGGGGATGGCGTCAGGGACAGCAGCTTTCTGCAGCGACGAACCCTCGTCTTATAGGTCACTCCCGCGGGAGCCCGCTGGATGCTTTGCTGTACATACCCACCCGGTTGGCTCGGTTTTGAACCTCAGAGACCATCCACCGTCATTGATGCCTAGTAGGGAAGGCAGAAAAAGGAAAGAGATACCAGAAGTGACAGAGGGCCGGGCGCAGTGGCTCACGCCTGTAATCCCAGCACTTTGGGAGGCCAAAGCGGGCGGATCACCTGAAGTCAGCAGTTCGAGACCAGAGAATTGCTTGAACCCGGGAGGCGGAGGTTGCGGTGAGCCGACATCGCTCCACTACTCTCCAGCCTAGGCGACAAGAGCAAGACTGTTTCAAAAAGAAACATGGGAGAGGTGGCTTTGCAACGATTCCCGGGTCCCTCCCGACTTTTGCTTGGGAATTGCCAGCACTATTCCTGGCTTGCCGGAGAGCCTGGAGGAGGGGTTCCTTCACAGACACTCAAGGCTTCGCACACCATTTCCCTTTCAGTTCCTCCCTGTGAGGGTTTCTAGGAAATGCAGGAACATCCTGGGAGGCGTGGAAGGAGCCTTTCAGCATCGTCCTCCCAAGGCACTTCTGCGAGCTCCTCTGCATTCATGTTTACATCCTCATGGAAGCCGGGCCCCTCCCTTCTGAGAAACGGGGAGGAGACCTTTTAGCCAAAATGCCCTTCTTGAAAAGAGAACTTTTTTTTAAACCTTTGGTTAAAGAAGTCACAGATGATCACAAGAATGCAGTCACTTTACCAGAAAGCAAACAAACAGCAAAAAATTAAAATTAAAATTAAAAAAAGTGTGGAACACCGTGTATGTTGCACGGGTTACTGGCAGACAGTCTGTTCCTTCTCTCTGCCAAAATTCACCTTGTGGAGTTGGTCTGGTGTGGTGGCTCACGCTGAGGTCAGGAGTTCGAGACCAGCCTGGCCGACACCGTGAAACCCCGTCTCTACTAAAAAATACAAAAATGAGCCAGGCATTGTGGCGGGTAACCGCAGCTACTTGGGAGGCTGAGGTGGGAGGATCGCTTGAACCTGGGAGGTGGAGGTTGCATTGAGCCAAGATCACGCCACTGCACTCCAGCCTGGGTGACAAGAGTGAAACTCTGTCTCAAAAAAACACAAAAAACACAAAAAACTGTCCTGAGGTTGTATCTTCTGTGTCTCAGCCCTAAGAGTCCAGTCCCCCCCGTGCAGCCAGGTTTCCCACAGGGACAGGGATGTTTCTGATTTTATTCCCGGAGAGGACTGTTGAATTTTCTCTTTTAAACACACTCCCATCAGGGAAATGGATTTTGAAATATTGCCACCGCAGAGTTTCTCTGTGGCTGGACTATTCTAAGTGGCTTTCACTTATTCAGGGAAACACAGACATTTTCCAAGACTGACAACTACTTTTTAACCAGGGGGTGGGGTGGTGGGGGATACTTCCACGGAGTGACCGGCCTGTTATGCCATGAAGCTTCCTGTGTTGCTTAGATTCCACGGGCTGTGGGTTCTCTGCCTCCGTGATGACAAGCTGGGGCTGGGGAGGTTGGGGTATAGGAGGGATGACCCCAGTCAGCTCCAGCCCGTGTTCTGCTGAGACCCCAAGAGCCCTGGGCCTCAGACGGTGAAGCAGGAAGTCCCTGGCGGCTTCTCAGGGCCGTGGGATTTAATCCTGACGTCATGGGCGGGTGTAAGTCTGCAGGAAGTTAATTAAGCTCAGGAAAACCATGTAACCTGGTTGCTTGTTATGGGAAGCGGTTCCCCTGCGAACCTGCCGCCCTCTGCTCCGGGTATTCTCAGCAGAAGGGCACTGGAAGCTCACAGGGCGGCTGGCCTCGAGGTTGGCTTCTGCTGTGCCCCGAAGCTGGACGCAGCGGGCAGCCGCCGCCCCCGTGGTGGGGGGCTCTATTCTGTAGCATCACCAACCTTCCCTTCACGTTTTTCAAATCATTCGTTTCTCATCACTCACGGGAAGATGCTCGCTGCTCCGGCTCTGTCTTCATTTTCATTTTTTCAAGCCATTGTTCCCTCCTGAATGGTTGCCTCTTATTTAATGCTCTAAACTTGGACTCTTGTTCAGTACACCAGAGAAATAAATCGGCTCCTAATCTAACCGTCAAAAAAAAAAAAAAAGAAAAGAAAATGGATTACATTAAATTTAAGATGACTTGGGGTTTTTCTGTGTAGGAGGGAGTATGCTGTTTCCAATTTAGGGGGTCAGTGGTGGAGAAGAGCTGGTGGGTAAAGAGGCTTTCTCCACCTCTGACTTGTCCCTCAGCGTTATAGTACATTTGGGACCTAGTACCCAAGAGAGGCATTTGTAAGGCTCAGGGGCGGTCAGACCAACGTTGGCTAGAATTGTCCCTTTCCTTTTCCCCGACTCTCATGTTCATGCCTTTTTGTTTCCCGCTAAGGGTTGATGTTGAAGTGTCACTTTTGTTTGAACCTGATTTTTTAGCTGCTTGCCCTTCACCTTGCCTTAGGTTGGCTAAGGATGGATCTATTGGCACATAGGGGAGTGTTTATCTTCTCTCCTGCGGAGGAGCCTGTAGGACCGGTTTTTGTTTGTCCAGCTCTCCCTCCCCTACTTTCTGAATGAGTGACGCTGTGGTTTTCTTTACTACCTTTGGCTCTGCTTTAGCCACTGAAGTTTTACAGTACGCTGCCCGTCGGGGCTGCAGCCACGTGGGATTTAATTGGACCACGTTTAGCCAAGAGTTAATGTGTGGGCATTGATTAGGGCGTCCAGGTTGTTCTCTGACCCTGGTTACTATTTTATACACATAGCCAACCACTTCACAATCTATTGTCCCTTCAGCGGGCCACCTGACATTGAAAGAAGGCCAGTCTGGTTTACACAGGGTTTCTAACCTTTGAGGAGTTGGTTTGACTCGGTAATTTTCTCCAAACCCCTTTTTAAACGTATTTAGCATGCACGATCTCCTCCCTTACGATGCAGTCACTCAGCCTTATTCTTCAGACTGATTAAACTGTCCCCCTGATCCGAGTAGGAGAGGGTGTTTTCAGGGGCCGCTTGGCATTGGAGAGCTTGTTACCATCCCCCACAATACCTAGATTGTGGGGGCACCTCCTTAAGCCGCGTGCGGATCACCCGTAGTTGCGGCCGGCCTCACACTTTGCTCGGAGTGTACCGTCCGCGCTGAGGAACCTGGGCTCCCACACGTTACTCCCTGCGCTGGCTCCTCCCGGAGTCCTCTCTTTCACACACCTCTCCTTCCCAGTTTTCTACTCCTGCCGCTAGCCTTCCTTACCAAACTGGCCTAGAAGCTGCTTATGTTTAATTGGTATGAGAGTTTTATTCAAATCAGCGAGTCACACTTTCCTCAGCCCTACCTGGTCCGATTAGTCGTTACTTCCCTGGGGCTGAACAGGTTCTGGTTAGATGAGTTTTACTTGAATCTGCGAGCCTCTCTCACTTCCCCTAGGCTTGCTAGGTGGGGTGACTAGTCACTTCCCTGGAAGGTGATGGGCACTCCAGACCTCCTTTCCCTTTTTTCTTTCTTTTCTTCAAGCCTCAGGTGCCTTACCGTGGTTCCTGAAGCAGCTGATTCTAGAGTCATCCTGCAGACTCCTCCTGCTTCCACTGCGCCACCTGTGGAGGGCCCCGGGGTTGGGGAGAGCTGATTTCCTTCTTGAGAGAAGCCTGCCAGTGGTGCCTAGGGTCTCCGGTCTCACTTGGCCCAGGGCCCTGGCGCCCCACAGGCAGAGGAGACAGCAATCTTGTCATCTCCAGTCCCCAGCCAATGCATCAGAAATATTGCAGGATTTCAGAGGCTGGAGAGACCATTGAGGTCACTGAAGGAGTTTATTTTAGGCATACACCAGCCCAGCTGGTTTCTGAACTGGGAACAAAATGGCTGAGCCCTTAACAAAGGCAGGGCTTGATATATATATATATATATATATATGTTTTTTGAGACGGAGTTTTGCTCTTGTTACCCAGGCTGGAGTGCAATGGCGCGATCTCGGCTCACCGCAACCTCCGCCTCCTGGGTTCAGGCAATTCTCCTGCCTCAGCCTCCTGAGTAGCTGGGATTACAGGCAAGCGCCACGATGCTCAGCTAATTTTTTGTATTTTCAGTAGAGACGGGGTTTCACCGTGTTGACCAGGATGGTCTCGATCTCTTGACCTTGTGATCCACCTGCCTTGGTCTCCCAAAGTGCTGGGATTACACGCGTGAGCCACGGCGCCCGGCCATGAATGATACTTTTACAGTTATTCATATTTTTTCTCTGTCACTCTTTGGTGTTGACTCTCAGAAATGTACTTGTGCAGCATTTTTACTTTTTTATTTTTTGAAAGAGGTTAAGTAATATCAACAGTATGCTTTTCATTTTTAAACTCTCATCCAGTTTACTAGTTCTATCTAGTGCATTTAAGTTGAAATGTGGTTAGTGAGTTCCTCTATTTTAGTTACTGTATTATTCATTCTACAACTTAGTTATTTTAAAAATTATTTTATAGTTTCTGCTTTCCTGAATATATTTTTATCTTATTTAAATATAGTATGCATAGTGATTTTTATATTTTTGTCCGGTAAGTCAAATATCTGATGTCTTTGCGGGTTTGTTTCTGTTATTCTGGTGTCTTTCACACCGTCGTCTTTATTGTGACCATTGTCAGCTTTGGTTGCTTGTTAGTCACTGTTCATAGAAAATTACTTGCGGAGAACGATCCAAGATGGCCGATCGCTAACATCCCGGGATTGCAGCTCTCAGGGAAGGCGCGGAGAACTAGAGGACGCCACACTTTCAGACAAAGTCTGGTCGCTCACGGAGCAGAAGATCCCCCAGTGGTGGAAACACACGAGTCGCCAGCGCGACTCTCGTGGTCGGTGCAGCGGTTCCGCTGGCACCTCTACGCGGCAGCGCTCGGTGCAGAGTAAACGGGACCGGTTCCCCTTCTGACCGAGGTTTGGAGCCCCGGGAAGGCAGAGTCGCCTACTACGGACACAAGAAGGAAGCCCGACAGGAGAATCCTGGGCAGAAAAGCACCATCAGTTTTAACGCCGCTGCTCTGGCCCTGGGAACTAACAACCTGGACGTCCACTCAAGAGACCTAATCTGAAAGTTGGTAATTTCAAAGACGACAGGAGGATAAATTTACAATGATGGGAAGAAACCAGCGTAAAAAAGCTGAGAATACTCAAAGTCAGAACGCCTCTCCCTCTAAAGATGATCACAGTTCCACATCGACAATGGAACAAGGCTTGATGGAGAACGAGCGCCTCCTGATGACAGAATCACTCTTCAAGGAATGGATAATAACAAACTTCGGTGAGTTAAAAGAACACGTTGTACGTAAAGAAACTAGGAACTTTGAAAAAAGGTTTGATGAAATCCTATTGAGAATAGACAACTTAGAGAGGAGTATGAGTGAATTAATGGAACTGAAGAATACAATACAGGAACTCCGAGAAGTATGCACAGGTTTAAACACTCGAATTGTTCAAGCAGAAGAAGGGATATCAGAGGTCAAAGTCCAACTTAATGAAATAAAACGTGAAGAAAAGATTAGAGAAAAAAGGATAAAAAGGAATGAGCAAAGTCTCCAAGAAATGTGGGACTATGTGAAAAGACCAAATCTACGTTTGATAGGTGTACCTGAATGCGACGGAGAGAATGAATCCAAGCTGGAAATTACCCTTCAGGATATTATTCAGGAAAATTTTCCTAAACTAGGAAAGCAGGTCAACATTCAACCCCAGGTAATACAGAGAACACCACAAAGATATTCCTCAAGAAAAGCAACCCCAAGGCACATAATCGTTAGATTCACCAGGGTTGAAACGAAGGAGAGGATACTAAGGGCAGCCAGAGAGAAAGGTCAGATTACCTACAAAGGCAAGCCTATCAGACTTACAGCAGATCTCTCTGCAGAAACTCTACAGGCCAGAAGAGAGTGGGGGCCAATATTCAACATCCTCAAAGAACAGAACCTTCAGCCCAGAATTTCATATCCAGCCAAACTAAGCTTCACAACTGAAGGAAAAATGAAATCTTTTATGAACAAGCAAGAACTCAGAGATTTTATTACCACCAGGCCTGCTTTACAAAAGCTTCTGAAAGAAGCATTACACACAGAAAGAAACAACCAGTATTAGCCTTTCTAAAAATACACCAAAAAGTAAAGAGCACCAACATAAAGAAGAATTTACACCAACAAATGGATAAAACAGCCAGTCAACATCAAATGGCAGTAACCCTAAATTTAAATTGACTGAATTCCCAATCAAAAGACACAGCCAAAACCCAACGGCATGTTACATCCAGACCTGTTTCACGTGCAAGGATACACAAAGACTCAAAACAAAGGGATGGAGAAAGATTTACCAACCAAATGGAGAGCAAAAACAAATTATAAATAAATAAAAAGCAGGAGTTGCAATTCTTGTATCAGATAAAATAGATTTTAAAGCAACAAAGATATAGTGGTAAAAGGATCAATGCAACAACAAGAGCTAACGATCCTAACACCCAGATAGGAGACATAGATTCAATGAGACAGAAAATTAATAAGGATATCAAGGACTCGAACTCAGATCCAGAACAAGTAAACTTAATAAATATTTATAGAGCTCTCCACTTCAAATACACAAAATATACATTCTTGTCAATACCACATCACACCTACCCATTAGTTTAAATGAAACATTGATTGGCCATTATTAATACCCAATTTTTTTCAAAATAAAGCAATATTTCCATTTACTCTCCCTCTTTCTCTTCCTCTTTCTTCCTCTCCTTTACTTATTTTTTTTTTTCTTTCCTTCTCTCAAAAAAACAGAAATCAACTTGTAAACCTCTAGATCCAGGTCGGCAATGTCTCTTTCATTGCTTGATTTCCTTTCTTTCCTTCCCTCCCTCCCTCCCTCCCTCCCTCCTTCCCTCCCTTCCTCCCTCCCTCCCCGCTTCCTCCCTTCCTTCCTTCCTTCCTTCATCCCTTCCTTCCTCCCTACCATCCTTATTCCCTTCCTTCCTGCCTTCCTCCCCGCCCCCCAAAAAAAAAAAAAAAAAAAAAAAGAAAATTACTTGCAAGGTTTATCAATTACTAGATGAGATGTTACTTTCTTTGAAAAGTTTATTTTTGCTTCTTTCAGTTTTCTAAAGATTTTACAATGTGGGACAATTATTTGTATGATTTTAAGTAATGTGCTTCATTCAAAATTGATATAACTGATAGAGAAATTTATGTAAGATCAATGTTTGGTAACAAAATTGTAGACAATTTATTTCTCTTTTTAAATTTTTTTATCACCTGCCCTCAACTTCAAGACAATCTTGCATGCCATTCCTCAGTGTTGGGAAGAAAGGGACTGTTTGGGTCATACACAATCTTTGAACTCCCAGGTTAATGTTGAGAAGGTTTTTATAATAATTCCTAAGTGCTAAACATCCATAAGTATTTAATAAATGATAGATAACATTATTATCTAGTAATCCTGAACCCAAATTTCTAACTGTTTAGCTGCACTGTTGTGTTCTATGAAAAGAACTTTTTTGTTTAGAATATTGTTTAATGGATTGATGCTTTATTGTAAATTGTGAATACAGCTCGGCATAGTGGCTCATGCCTGTAATTCCAGCAGTTTGGGAGGCCAAGGTGGGTGGATCACGAGGTCAGGAGTTTGAGACAAGCCTGGCAAACATGGTGAAACTCCATCTCTACTGAAAATATAAAAATTAGTTGCATGTGGTGTTAGGCACTTATAATCCTAGCTTCCTGGGAGGCTGAGTCAGGAGATTCACTTGAATCCAGGAGGCAGAGGTTACAGTGAGCCAAGACTGTGCCTTTGTACTCCAGCCTGAGAGACAAAGAGAGACTTTGTCTCAAAAAATAATAATAAATAAGCTGGGCATGGTTGTTTATGCCTGTATCCAAGCGCTTTGGAGGCCAAGGTGGGTGGATCACCTGAGGTTGGGAGTTCAGGACTAGCCTGACCAACTTGGTGAAACCCCATGTTTTTTAAAAAAATAATAAAAAATAATTTTTAAATTGTGAATACATTTGTAGTATGCATAAGGCAAAGAATGAGATGTTTGGATTCAAAGATGCGACCTCTGCCTCCTGGTTCCAGTGATTCTCCTGCCTCAACCTCCTCTGTAGCTGGGATTACAGGCACACGCCATTACACCTGGGTAATTTTTTTGTACTTTAAGTAGAGACGGGGTTTCACTATGTTGGTCAGGCTGATCTCAGACCCTTGACCTCGTGATCTGCCCACCTTGGCAGATCTGAAAGTTCTGAGATTATAGGCATGAGCCACCACACCCAACCAAATTATGTATCTTTTAAAAAGTCAAAAGTGAAACTACTGACCACTTTTAGGAGCCTTAGAAGTTCCTTTTAATAGTAGTAAGATGGCAAGAGCTGGCATTTTGGTTAAGTCAGCCAATTCAAAACCCGCAGAGAGAAGTTATCAGGGGTCACATTTTATTTTATTTTATTTTTATTTATTTATTGTTTTAAGACACAGTCTTGCTCCCTGGCTGGAGTGCAGTGGCGCGGCCTCTGCTCACTGCCATCTCCACCTCCCAGGTTCAAGGAATTCTTCTATCTCAGCCTCCCAAGTAGCTGGGATTACAGGCATGCACCACCATACCCAGCTAATTTTTGTATTTTTAGTAGAGATGAGGTTTCACCGTGTT